TGTATTATAGATTAAGTTAGGCAAAGTTGAAACACAAAATCATTATATTTTTTCTCAATATTTTAATGAAATCTCAATTCATCTACCAATTATTTTATTCTCGAGTTTATGATTAATTATTTCGTCTTGTGTCATCTTATTTTCTTGCATATTATCACAACAAATTAGTATCGAAACTATGTGATATTTTCGTCGTTGTTTACAACAAACTGGTATCAAAGCTAAAGCTTAACTCATAGGGAGATCTTTTGATTTTGGGATGACAACCATGAAATATGATATTTCGTTTTTGGATGCTTGACGGCGCTCGATGGAGATCAATCGCCCAAAACAATGAAGCAGTGCTAGCTAGACGCTCAAGCATTGAGGCAGCACTCACTTAGCGTTCGAGCGCTAAATTCATTCAGCTCTGGCTCGTTTTTGTGTTTTGACATTTTTTGAGCATTCATTTTCATTTATAATTCTACCTTTAGGATTTGAACATCCCCTATATATATCTAGCTATTCATTGTATTATAGATTAAGTTAGATAAAGTTATAAATACAAAATCATTATATTCTTTCTCCATATTTTAGTAAAATCTCAATTTTTCTGCCAATTATTTTATTCTTGAGTTTGTGATTAATTAGTCATATAATGTCATATTATTTTCTCACATATTATCACAACAAATTGATATCGAAATTATCCAGTATTTTTATTATTGTTACAGAGGTCCCACCACAGATTTCTCTAGTTACTGAGCCGACTCTAGAGTCTCCAATTAAGGTACCTACATTTCCTCCTTCCATTACTTCAATTATGAGTATTCTTGGTGTGCTGGAGGGGTTTCACAGAACCCCTCCAGAACACACACAATAGGTGGGGCCCCCTCATAAAAAAGTCAAACCCCCTCACCTATTGTGTGTGTTTTGGAGGGGTTCTCAAAAACCCCAAGAATAATCCCATCACTTATTCTTCCTCTTATTGAGGTACGCAACTGAGCCTACACATGTCAGTTCTCTTAAATGCATTATATTATTTGCTATTTGCAGATGAAAATTGAAAAAATATATATTGGGTTGATAATTTTAGAATTTTCGTTTGTCCATTCAATATTTCAGGTTAAGTTTTACTTTCAATATCTTATTTGTATTAACCTACCCTTTTCTCAGTTTCACAATTTAGTTTTCAAACACAAATTGAATTATCTAAGACCCAATTGCCCCTAATCCTACGAAGGTCCATATTACTGACCACGTGGCATGAAGCTGGGAAAACAACAAGAAATCACCTTAGNAGTTCGATTCCCCGCAAGGTGGAATTGGCTTTGTTGCAAGCGGGAGTTACCATAGGGTTAATAGCCCAGGCCTATCCATAAGCTCTCCACCCTGGCTCCTGGGAGGCACATCCTGCGATTTACCTCCTCCACAATGGTCCAGGGCAGGGTCGGTGGGGGCCCTCAAGGTTGGGGTTCAACCTTTACTTTCAATTCCTTCTCATTATAGGAGGTCGTTACAAGTTTATAGATGTCTAAAATATTGTAAGTGCTTGAAGCTAAGGTGTTTTAAATATTCGATATTGATCAAAACGTGTATAGAAAATATAGTGGATGCTGCTGTCAATAAAAAGGAAAACGTGTACTATTTTCTTAGGAGCCATTTTGGAGCCTTGTGCCAAAAGAGATTCTACAATTTTTGAATTAAGTGGTCGACTTGTTTTTTAGCTATAATTCACAACAGGTGGGGTTCCTCGTAGTGCTTCCCAACTTGGTACGATTGTAACACCATTTATTTCTCGTTTTACATTAGTTTGGAAGGTTTTAATGAAGCATTATATTTTAAGACATCTGAAATCTATTTAAATTGTTGAAAATATTCTAAGTTATTATTACCACATTTAGATGCTGAAGATTTGTTTAAAAATTGTAAGACTGGAGGAAGAGTTATATTTTATGACCTCCAAAATCGAGTCGGGTGTCTAAAAATTTATTATTTAAATCCCTCGCGCTTTGTACTATTAAGGGATAAAATCACACATCGAATAAATATGAAAACATAGATCAATAAATATTATGAATCTTTTAGCGGTTTCACATATGTTCCCGACTCCTGTTGTTGTAGTACCTTCTATCGCACAAATCACACTACCCCTGCCTCTACATTATCTATTACTACAATTCTCATAGAGATTTTACTAATTGCTCCCGTTAAAATTAGGGTGTGACCCAAATTTTATTTTAAAGATAATTGAGAATTCTAATTAAAGTTGACATTATGAGGAATTTTTTATGTTGAAATATTTTTGGAATCTTATTCGAAGTTTATTTAGAATATTTTAGTTGAAGTTCTATGTGGAAGCTCAATTGGAAGTTGAAATTCGTGTTAGATTTGAAGAGATCAAGATATGGACCATGTAGGATTTTTCGATGCAATTATGCTCGCCAGCGCTGGACTCGAGCTCAAGCGCCCAAAGCAATGAAATTGGTGTCCGCTGGTGCCAGCCGAATGCTCAAGCGTCGTACCCACCTAGCACTTAAGTGCCATATTCATCCGGCTCTAGCCCCTTTTTACATTTGAGCATTTATAACTCTATTTTAGGGTTTGAAACATCCATATTCATTGTATTATAGATTAAGTTAGGCAAAGTTGAAAACACAAAATCATTATATTTTTTCTCAATATTTTAATGAAATCTCAATTCAT